TGATTTTATAGCTCATTTGATGAGACAGTTTGTGGATGTGGAGCCACTGGGGTAGGTTTTATGCTTAATTTACTTTGTACATTCTTGTTAGCTCATCTGCTAAAGTCCATGCAGGCGCATCAGGGTAGATGGCACAAAAAAGTGGAAAGTTGTTGCCTCATGTTACCCGTAAATGTAAGAATATGACTCATGAAAATATTGCAATAGTACAACATTTCCCTCCAAACTTATGTTTTTAAGGTAAAAACCTTGATATCTGCATTTGAGGCCTCCTCCTTTTTTATTCTTTATTTGGCTTAAATCAGTTAAATCTTTTGAGATAATAGTTAGTGTTGTACTTGACTGCATGATGTCCACAGGTATTTCCTAATGTTTATAAATGGTCAAAGTAATATAATGTAATATAATACAACATCATCTTTAACAATGACCTCTATAATAAACCTGTAATAATGGAAAGTTGCAGTCACCTATTGATCCCTTTCTTCTAATCATCTGATTGGAAATGTTGCTCTTCATGCATCCATATAAATCCAATAATTTTTTATTATTTTTTAAACCAAAACATACATTATCTCAATGTATAAACGTTATTTATATATTTGGGATTTCTTTCACTCTTGTTCATGTATCTGATTAGGTGATTTGAACATAACAAAAGAAAATAATTAGATTTCCTTCCTCATTAAGATTTAATATATGTATATATCTTCATCATATTAATCATAATTTTTTTATTTGATTTATTTTCCCCAGGAAGGTGAATAGTGCAATAAAGACGTGACATGTATAGATGCATGCCTTAGTAGTACCACTTCAATCCACTGGGTGGCAGGCATTTGCAGCGTTTGTGCAGCGCTCTTCTCTTCCACAAAGCAAAAAACTGAAGAATTCATAAAAGAGGATTTTAAACAGGAGGAAACTCATCTCTGTTTTTGAAATGTGTAAATTTAAAGTTTGCATCCTGACTGACATGGTTCTGGATGACCAAGCTAAAGTTCTGAGTTCATACAGAAACACTTGTATCGCCTCGAATTTGTAATCTCACCCAGAGTCTGTGTTTATAATTGAATCTGTATAATAGAAACATATCAATATAATATAAACATAAATACATTAAGCTACATGTTCGTCTTGGGTTTGAGTTTGTTCAATTTAAAACAACTAAAAAGAGAGATGCTAAAGACTACAATGAAGCTTAACAGACATGAAACGACCACAAAAAGATATTAAGTGAATACAGAGAGGTAAAAGAAACAACAAAAAGAGAAACTGTTTTTAAATTTGAAATATTTGAATCCAAACACGTTTTTTCTCATTTGACAAATGAGGACCTCTTCTTTCAATCTGCACCCCGGTGGATTAGCTTGTTTTACAGTCAAGTACATTCCACAGTTACTCTGTTGCCACTTTCGTGCTCGCTGGTGTGCAGCGTGGAGCCACAGTGCAGCGTGCACGCAGCACTTGCCAGCTCCTCTGGGGCAAAGAACCATCAGAGGGAACACGAGAAGAATGAGTCCACAAGACCAAGGACACAATCTTTCGGTCCCGTCCCACTGCTGCTGCACAAAAGCCAAGCCTTGTTGCATAAGACGGCTGGAGATGGAAAAGACAGGGGACGTGAAGAGAAGGGCGCCATCCCCCTCATTTGCACACTCAGAGCTTTTCAGGGAAAAGCCGTGGGCCCAGCATGTTTTATTGCTAATGCCTCAGTGACTTCCAAGGGCACTTAAAGGACTTCAATCATTAGATTTGCACTCCACTCGCTTCAGACCCAGAGAAGGCCTCAAGACCGGGAGGGAGAGCACCCCCCCTGAGAGAATGTTGTTATAGTCCCCTCTTTTGGGCTGATTTAGCTGTTTTCCTTTTCACCTCCTATTGAACGTTGAGCAACGGCTTAACCGGCAAGACGAATGTGTGTTTACGCTTTTGATAAAGAAAAGTAGTTATAAGAGAAAAGAGGAGGGGGGCAAGGCAATGTTCTTTTTGTATTCTTTTGCAACCCAGGACCTGGGTGGAAAAGCGGCCAAGAGGACATCATATAAATCAGGTTTCCGGTAGCAACAGCACTGGTAGGCCTGAGACCGGGCCCCTATCTTCTTCCTGCTCATCCTCCCCCTTCACATCTTGCACAATGTTTTCTTACTCACATATTTGTACTTCTTCATTATCTCGTCTTCATCTTTCCCTTCCAACTGTGACTCCCCCCCCCCCAGGACAGATTCAACCCCCAAACATCACGATCAAACATGTCTTCTGACCCAAACTTCAAACACCTGCTTAAAAAAGGCATAGGTCAGTGTTCTGTCTGGCCAAATTAGTTCATTCATGTTTCCATCACTGCCAGTCGAAGCCAGAGCCGATAAAAACTAATATTTCACCCAAGAGTGAAAGCTGATTGTGTCCATTCTCACTGCAGAAAAAATCCAGATGTTGGCAGGTGTTGGTGGGTTTTTTTGACTGATGGAAAAAGGGGCTTGCCTCAAACTGATTCCTCGAACTATCAGCCCATTCCTCCCTGGCAACAACTCGGCATTTCTCAGCCTCTATACAGCCAAAACTTGAGGCCTATTACTCCAGCCTGGATACAGTGGAGGGGGAACATTGAGGCTGGAGGTGCGGGGAAAGGGCAAGAACATGAGAAAATGAAAGAGCAGAAGAGTTGCGGAGGAAGAAAAGAGGGGCGAACAGACCTGTGAGAGAAATCTGGCAAAGCCTCATTAAGTTTAAATAGGTAACCCAGCCAGTAGGTGAGCACATTCCCATTAACTTGGCAGTGGGGATAACTTCCTCCAGGCTTATGGGTTATTACTTCCTCTCCCATTGCTGTAGGACTATTGTTTAGCCCCAGTGTGAAGTCATGCACGCTGCAGGGATAAGCCTGTTCTCTGATATGGACAATGATCGCTATTGTCTCTTGTTTTTTTCCCTCCATTTGCAACACGAACAGAGCTCAACAGTGTGGTTTCAGAAACCATTGCATTCATTCTCTGAACAGAGATTTTGATTATCAGCCATAATATTTTAATCATCCAAGACTTGCCACAAGCTACGAGACTGTGAAGTTATGTTACATGCTCCTGTAGAAGCCACAAGTTCTTATGATATCAATCGGTTTATTTGCAGTGTCAAGGAGAAATACTACACCACCCACAATCCCCAGGTGTAATGGTCACGATTCATCTCGTAGCTGCTCGGCCTGGCTCCAGGCTTAAAAATCTTTTTATAAGGAAACGTCGATAGACAAAAATTATTTTACTTCCAGAACCAGAGCTGCTCTACAAGGACGCTCACTGCTCTGCTCTATTGGCTCCAACTTGGAAGTTACTGGATCTAATGGAACAGATATATTGTAAAAGGTCATTAACTAATGCAGGGACACAATAGCCACCTCCAATGCATTAATGTAACATTGAATTCGATAATGACATTTCTTCTCACTGTACTATAGAGTCCAGCCCACCCCTGGCAGCCTGTAATCCAAGTTTTACTGCATCTATGAGGCTTTAAATCCTTTGGTGTGTTTTGCCGCCTTAAATGATGCACTGATGAAACTGAAAAGTAATTTGCTAAGTTTAAATTTCCATTAAATATCCTTTCTTCACTTTATTTTAAAAAAATCACAGTAAGCTGGGCAATTTCAAGTTTTGATTTTTACAGTAGCCTTTATTTCGATGTTATTTCCTATTTCTACACAGCATTCCTCTGACTGGATGCGTTTTCTCCTTTAAAATCTCTGTGTTCTGCTCCAGCAGTCTACAGCACCTCATTACCACCTCACTGGAAACAGGGAGGTCGTGAATCTGCTCCGAGTTTGTCAGCAGCATGTGATTGATAATAGCAGCTCAGTTATAGGACTTCAGTTCTTTGTGCAGAGACGTGGAGCTGAGTTACAGCTTCGGCCTGGATCAGGGATGACTGTACAGTGTGTATATACTGTATTCTCACACACTTTAAATTACTTTCAATACTTTGTGACTGCACTGTAAAACAATAGAACATTATATACATTCATCTTTACAAAATTTGAAGCTAATAAGCACAGGCGTCACATCTATGGATTTATCAACTCCACCATGAAAGTCATGTTATTATGTGTTTTTTGTTCGTTAGCGGGATTATTATAAATCAGATATGTCAAGGTATGGATCAGGTATCTAGGATTTTTTTTAAACTTACTTCAACATTGCTGCTTTTTGACATTTTCACAAATCTACCTTAATCAAAACAATCAGACAAATTTAGGGGACCGACAATTATGAGTGTGTAGAATTTGGTGCCGCTTGATTTTGGGTATTGTAGTGTGCTAGTTGCCTCCACCAAGGAAGTTATGTTTTTGTCTGCATTCGTTTGTTTCTCACCAGGATAATGCAAAAACTGCTCAACCAATTTCCATGACACTTTTAGTGGAGGTGTAAAAGAAGAAGACTCAGAAGAACACTGGAGGAGACAGAGAAAAAGAAGAAGCAAAAAGAAAGCAAGTGTAGGGGCAGCAACCAATGGACGTACAAGCCATTTCATTTTGGGGCAGCTCTGCATCAGGGGGATGTTTTTTTCAGAGTTCATTTCTCCAGGAATAGAGAAGGGAACTTGTTGCATGTTAAGGGGACTGATATTTTTGAATGTGTGCACTTTGGTGCAAATACAAATCTAGTGAAATTAGATGTTATTTCATGTGGGGGACTGTTGGACATGTGACTATAAACGCAGATATAACTTTATAGATGTATATATATGACAAATTCCCCCAAAATGCATCCTGGCACAAGAAACATATTGTTCAAATTGAAATCAAATAAAGCAATATATTTAAATAGATAAAGAATTTAAAATTAAGTAGAGTGCATGAGTTTTGTAAACGGTGACAACAACAACAACAACCACCTGTTGCTGTAAACGCATGTGGAGACATTTCCCAGCAGCAACTCCAGGGGCTCGCAGCTCCATGCATCAGCAGGCATCATAGTTACACACCCACTTCACACCATCAGCCACATCCTGGAAGCCCATCCCCGACTCAAGACCCCCGGCACACACCTCAGGAGCCACACGGACACCACTTTCCCATCCTTTAATCACCGTTACCAGAACTTCAAGCGTTTAATCCGTGGAGATTTCTAACTTGCAGCGGCTGATTCGTGCGCAGCGTCTTTTCATTTTTTTTGGGTGAAGTTGATCTTAACGATGGCCAACTCCGGTATCCAGCTGCTGGGATTCTTCCTGTCTCTCATTGGCATCGTGGGGCTGATCATCGGGACCGTTCTGCCGCAGTGGAAGATGTCCGCGTACATCGGGGACAACATCATCACAGCTGTGGCCATGTACAAGGGACTGTGGATGTCCTGCGCCTTCCAGAGCACCGGGCAGCTCCAGTGCAAAATCTATGACTCCATCCTGCAGCTGGACAGTGAGTAGGACTCAATTTGACTTCACCTGTTCATGCATGTGCTTACTTCTTCTTTTATTTATTATTTGATTCAATTAAAGTGGCGTCAAAGCGCAGGACGGTGTTCTCCTCCTCCTCCATCCTTCATTTATTGACACAGCCTCAGGGTGCAATCTGCTCATCACGTCCCATAATTACCATCCTCTGTTATCACCAGCAGATACAGGGTGACAGCACAGTGGCACATTGTCTTCTCCTCTATTAGGTGTCCTTTCATGGAGACAGCTATACAAAGGAGGAGGGGGGTGAAAAGGAACTGATGAGGGTTGAAAAGTTAAGGAAAACTCAAGGAAACCCTCCTCCCACCTCCGAAAACATAAACTCACGTAGAAGGTGATACATCAACCAAGCATCACTCCTCTGATCTGTGTGAAAGCTTCTCCATGGACGGGGAGAAAAAAGATTTTTGTTTCATTTGACACAAGGTGGCTGTTCTCTGTTGTATTCATCGCTTGCTATTTTCTATTCCTCTTTTTCGACTAGCTGCTCCTTTAACCAGTGAATGTCCCCAGCTCAATTGAGTTGATCTTATCTTATCGTCTCATACAACAGACTGCGGCTCTCCTTCAACCAGAACCAGCCTATTAAATATAACGAACAAACGCCATGACAGTGGTTGCCAAATATGTCGTCAAAATAATCTGTACCACTCTGTAGTGGTGCCCATGGTAACCAAACTACAGAGCGTGCAGACATCACAACTACCTGCTGGACATAAACCATCACAATGATTTATTTTGATTAATGAGTTAATCAAGGAGAAGTACACACCGACCGTGCAGGGAAACTGAATTACAATGATGGAGTTCTGACGCCAATAATGACCCATCTATAGACAAATACTAAACTTACTGTCTGCTGATGTACAGTCTATCTGATGGAATCACTGTATATCTGATACACTCATTGCATTTTGTTAACTGAACAACTATGTTAACAGTAGGCTTACTAATGAGCTGGTATAACCATATGGCCAACCAGCCTTTGGTTTCTCATCCGTGTGTTTGAGATGATCAGATTCATATAATGTGAAACAAGGGCCTCAACGAGGGTTTGTCTTGTGTATGTGTCATGCATGAGGGGCCTCTATGTTGTTGTGGTGCAGATTCCTGAATAAAAACAAAGTGGAGGCCCACAGCTCATTTTTTAATTAGATTCATGACCCATGATTGGTTTTAAATTGAGTCATTCAGTTGTGTGTGACTGTCCATCCTGCTCAGAAACGGAATTTACCATTTAATCTACTCAATTGTTTCCCATTCCCACAATTTTATAGAGTTAACCACCTTCTCTCTCTCTCTCTTCTACATCCTCTTCACCTCAGTGTCTCTCTACCCATCCCTCAGTCCCTCCCTCACGGCTGGAGGGTTTTGTTTGTTTGGACAGGGCAGGGATGGCCTAGACTGGCACAGACTGGTTCTAGGTGGACAGAGGGGGGTGGTGGGGGTGTTGGGGCACCCTTGTGGTAGGTTTACAGTGTGTAGGGGTGGGGGGTGCTGACGGATGACGATCCTGGGATCCTGACACTCGTGGTAGAGCCGGCCTCCAACTCTCAAACAGCAACAGATGGGGAGGGGAGACAGTGGAACACAAAGTGTTTGTGTGTGCCGATGTGTGTCCGAGTGTATCCCATGGTTTCTCTTCCAGGAAAAGCTCACATTAAAGTGTCCTGAGAGGCTTCTATGAATGTAATTCACAGCCTCTGCACACACTCATAAAGCCTCTTTGATAGGATGGTTTATTAGTCAGTCCTTATTGTTTTCTACGTCGCACTTCCACATTTGCACTTTGCAAATAGGATTCATTTTTTGACTTTATGAGCTCCTTGTGATTTTGCACTCCCACATTCCACGACACAAAAGAGCACACATTTACTGTACTCTTCTTCTAAAGACTATTTTCCCTCTCTCCGTCTCCTCCAGGTTCGCTTCAGGCCACTCGTGCCTTGATGATAGTTGGCATCATCGTGTCAATCGCAGGGTTGGGCGTGGCCTGCATGGGAATGAAGTGCACCACCTGTGGAGGGAACAACAAACTGCGCAAGTCCCGCATCGCCATGACAGGGGGCATCATCCTCCTAGTGGGCGGTGAGGAGGGGCATGCTCCTTTTATATTATTTTCACCCATGTAACACACCCACTGCAGTGAATCAGCAAAGGGTAAAAGACCATACCGCCAGATAAGCTTAAAAGCTCAGTTTATTTAGTAAATAATAAAACCACACTAAAATGGTGTACTTTCCATATGTATCTATGTATCCAAGTTTTTACACATGAGAATGTCTGCACAATTAGGTCCAGACTTTCTCCAGCGTTTGATAAGAAAGCAGCAGGAGATTCTTCTCAACAACACAGAAATCTCAGGGACGTTCAGGGTGCAGCAACAGGTGGCTGTAGGACCGTATGCACTAATTCTGCTGCTGAGAGATCACGTGTTTTTGATCATATAGCACATTGACAACCACATCTCAGACTCAGGTAAAACCAGGAAAGACTCTCCGATAAAAGTGTGTTTTAAGAAGGGACTTAAAAGAGTTCACTGAGTCAGCTGACCTGATCTCTTCAGGAAGGCCAAGGGTCATCTGCGCCACAGGTTGGTTGCTTCCTCACAGTCCTCATGGTAGATATTCAACATCATTGAGGACGAGTTGGCAACACCATCACTCGTCAAGTAGCCAAACTCTGTCTTAAAACTGCAGCACATGGACCCTGGCCTGCAGAGCACATGAGGAAATGAGGGGTCACTTTACTGATATACGTACATGCATCATACAGGCGCACAGCATAGTTGAGGTGAGAGCCCTTTAAAATATTCATGTAGCCTAACATGCATAACTGACCTGCACACAGAGGAGCACACAAGGAAATGAGGGATCACGGTGTTTGCGGCTGGTGGTTTAAATAAACTCCAGTGGAGGCACACTCACCTGCCTTCAATCATCTCCTACTCCTACTTTACTATATAAGGTCACATAGCAGAAAAAAAGAAAAGCGTGGTTGGACACTACTCTGGACATGACGTACGACAACAATAACTTCAGCCGGTGAAAAATCCCACAGTAAATAGTTTATTTTATACTCAGTAATGCATGATGGTACTTATTGCTTGGTTAGTGACCATCAGTTGACCGTTTTTCATGATGCATCATGGGAAACAATGAGTGCACTATATACACACACTCTTTCATGTCAGGTGTGAATGTGAATTCTCTCAAAAGTTAGCAATCGAAGAAACAATTCCAAATAAACTAATTTTACTTTGACATCAATTTGTTGATGACAACTGTGAGAGAGATTTGATGGAGGAAAACCAACAGATAGGTGTTCCACCACCAGCTGCAATAAAAGCTTTCACGTGTGGATTTACGCTATACATCAGAATGTACTGTGTTTTTTATCTGGGTCTTTGATGCCACTGGTGGGCAGTGCTGTCAAACAAGTGAGTCCAGAATATACAAAATATATTCCCACCTTGGCTTAGACCGAATATGATTCATTTTCTTACCCATCAGACCTTTCAGTGAAGCCTGTAAAGTAAAACTGCAGAAAATTGGACTCAAGATATTTCATCCTGACTCATCCAAACCCACCTCACCATCACAGAGCCGCTTAGATCTCCTGTATATCATTCAAATAGGTGGGAGGAACTTTGATCCTGAATCCAAAAAGCTTTCCTCCCACTCCTCTGCCCCAGCCCCTCAGAGGTCACATGACTGAATGAGACCACTTCTCCTGGCACTGATTCAAACGTAAAGGGTCAAACTGGCTCTGAAGAGACCAGGAACACTGAAATCTGGAGTCCAACGCTATCTGGAGACTATAGAGGGAATAAAAGCACGTGGGCTCTCTCAGGATTTGATGACGGACTGATTGATTGTTGACTTTTTCTCCTCACAGGGCTTTGTGCCATCGTAGCGTGCTCCTGGTTTGCTCATAATGTCATCAGAGCTTTCTACAACCCCTACACTCCTGTCAACACCAAGTGAGTCACCCCAGTAACTGTATATACAGAAGATCATTACCACTGTTACATCACTCTGTTAAATATGGTAAACAATAATGTGTTAAAATGTGTAATACCCTCTACATATATAGATGTGAAATCTAGGTATTATCCAAAATGTTGAATTATTCCTTTAAATTCAAATGTATTGTACAGAAACTATAATGTTTTATATTTACTTTACTACTGATACTTTAACTACTTCCACTGATGTTTTACATGTCAGACATTTGGTCATATGATGATATATGTACTTTTTTAACAGATTAATCAGAACAGTTGTTAAAAAGTACCCCACCTCATCCAAATGAATCAGTGATAAACTAAATATATTATTGATATAATGTAGATAATGATAGTGTAAAACACTCAAGGGCCCACATTGAATGAATAAGTAATTTTTTCTGTAAATGTTTACTTTAAAGTATAATTTTGATATAGTATTGCTCTTTCTTTCTCCTCTCCGACAGGTTCGAGTTTGGCGCAGCCATCTTCATCGCGTGGGGCGGCTCCCTCCTGGACGTCCTCGGCGGGGCCATGTTGGCCGCTTCCTGTCCGAGAAAGAAGCAGGTATCCAAATATCCATCCATGGCCAGTTCCCGCTCCGGTGCTCAGAGCGGCACGAAAGAATATGTCTGAGAGCGCCCCCTGTCCCTTTCTCTGCCTGGGACTCAGACAAATAAGCCCCCCCCCCCCCACACACACACATTGTTGCAGCGTCAGCGAGGAGTAAAAGTGAAGTTGTGAAGCGCAGATGCAAAGCGTTACAGAAATGGGACTTTTATTTGACTTTCCATTCAGGCCTTTGATAACCCCCTGATTATCACGCAGCAATCTCACTTATTTCACAAACAATGTCTCACACCCCGTCCACACATTCTACAATTGTTTACAAGTGGGCCTCACAAACACATTATAATTGGATCCCCTGACTTAATAGACAACCCTCAGGGTGGAACCTCTAGTAGCCTAAAGTGTGGATTATAGCCAACACTTGCACGTCCGTGTCAGAACCAGCCTCTCTTAGCGTTTGCCATGTAATTGAAAGTAATCAATTCCAGTTTGGTGCTCGGGCTGTGAATCAGGGGGTCTGTACAACAGAGACGCAGGCTGACAATACAGTGTTTTATATTAACTGGTGGTGGTTCCGAAATAGCTTTTGCGATGAGCAGGGTGTGACTTCACACACAGGGCTCACTCTGTAGGGTGAGTGGATCACACAGGCCTTTTACGACAACACTCACTACAGGCTCCGCACCTCATCATACCAGTCTGTTACAAACCCTGCTCAGCGACAAAATATTTCATCCTGTAGTCACCACCGCTCTCGTAGCTTCCATATCCGCCACCATGAGAATAAACTGCCTCTATTTATTTTGTAGTTTTTTGGCTCATGTGTAGATTTGCATAATTAGTAGTTCACTGTGGCCCTTTTGTAGCTTTCATATTTTTATTAAGATGTTTTATGCTCTGAAAAGTGTCTGCTGTTTTTTTAATGTCAAAGTTTTATACACTTGGCTCATCCAGCAGGTAATGATGTCATGGAAAAATGAATAAACGAACATTTTTAACATGTACAGCAGAACTTATATAATAAAGACATTGCAACATTGGTAATTGAGTTGTGGTCATAGAAATATAAAGTCGCTTCTAAATATAGGAATGAAAACTCATTTCAATTCTCTAGATCTGGATTTGTATTTGGATCGCCACAAAATTGCACACACTCTAAATACGCCTGTGTTGAAATGCTGAAGAACGCCTTATACCTGGATCCGCCCCCTGATCCGTATCCACACCAAAGTTTAATGGCTTCTTCCTTGGGTCATAACACACCGTTCCACAAAATGTCATGGAACTCAGCTAAGTAGTTTTTGTGTGATCCTGATCACAACCAGACAAAATATTATCTCCTTGGGGGAAGTATCACACATTTACTTACGTCTTGGTTGTTTGACACCAGAGGGCTACTGAAGGCAGTGAGCTCCTCGTTAATGTATATAACTTAGAAATAATTAATTACTTAACAACTTACACTAATGTGATGTGGAGGCTTGAATCCACTGCTGAGAGTGGACTTCTCAGACAGTTTGGGTCTAGTTGTTTTAATAGATTCTGGATTTTATTTGACAGACATTGACTGTATTCGTTTAATTCAGTGTAAATGCTACAAAATGGAGTAAACTACTTTTATTTAAAGTATTTAAAGTTGTATTCTGTAAATGAATATAACAGGAAATTAAAGATTTGCTGAAATGCTTAATGCTCTTGAATAAATATACAAAGATATACATCCTTTTTTGGGAGACAGCAGATGGTGAATCTGTTCGTCCTTTTACGTCGTGGTTATGAAGTCAAATATTTTGTACCCCTACAGTTTTTATATGTGTTGTGTGAAAAGTAAAGTAAAGATTCATAACACAGATATTAGAAGTCAGGTAGATGCATTTTTAAGTATCAATCACTGCATTTCGCTGTTTCAGAACACAACTGACAAAAGTGCATCAGAACAACAGAGAAAAAAACCTGCAAATCAGCCATGTTTAAGTACATTCACTTAACATAACGTAAAATGCAAAGATACCACAAAGATTTGTCTTTTTATTTATCGAGATTGCGTCACGAGAGGTCGACCGCTTCCATGCAAACGGCGACTGCGAAAATCCTGAACGACGACCTCCGAGTCGGAGAATGAGCTGTGAAAGAAAACGCAGCACTTCCGAGACGCAAAGTGAACTAGTAACAATTCCACAGCCAAGTCAGTAACGTGACAGCCTGATCCTTAACAGACATTATGTCACTCCAAGGTCCACAGCAATCACCATTTAAAAATATAAATCAATGTTAAGATTGTCTCAGCAATAAGAGCTAATCCTAGGCTGCTTGTTTTCGTATACTGTAATCGTAAAGCAAAGGTTGACATAATCTTCAAATAGTCAACCTGAACCTGTAATTCACTATGACACCATGTGGGTGTAGCTTAACAATCATCTATTGTAAATATATAACATTTAATTTGGCATCAGTTTTTTTTTTTTAATTATCCAAACATTGAGAAATTTCCATGCCCTTTTATCACAGAGTTGCAGCCGACCAGTGGGAAACCCGGTCGTCGGAAACAAACACAACCTCCGGGAGCGTGTTGTTGTCGTTGATATTTAACTGCTGAGTCTGCAGCTCGAGCTCACGCCGACTCTGCACCGTCTAAAAGAGCAAAACGAACGGTGGCGTGGTCTGAAACACTACTCGCACACAGTAGCCCTTGGCAGCAGGAGAACCGGTCACCGATGCTTTTCACAGACTCCATGCATAGAATTCTGCAACATGTCACTGCACATAACAGGCATTCCCACAAAGTGCACCATTTGGAAAACATAATAAAATCTCAGTTACACGGGAGAGAAGCAGTATCCATCCAGAAACGAGTATGAAGAAGCAATAACAACACAAGAAAGTGTCTCATTTTGTTTAAATAATTAGCAGTAGTTGTTTTTCTTCTTCTATAAATAGCGAGCTTTCATCCACTGGAAAAATAGTACAGCACTTGCATCAGTCTGAGAGTAGAGAAGGATAGTCATTGCACAACCAAAGCTTAATGTTTTACCTGCGTTAAACACATTAACAGGCGTGTGTTACCCCCCCCCCCCCGGACAAATCAGTAACCCTCGCCGGTGAACATGCAGGCGAGACGCCGCTTCTCGTCTCACCACCTGCTCAGTGCAACTTTAGAAATGTAGCCCTTTTTTGAGAAGCTCTGAAAAATATACACGCTCTTCTCCGCATCCCTCTCATAATCCTGATAGTCTGTGTGTGTGTGTGGTGGGGAGGGGGCGTGCAATACAATTACTTCACAGTATGACCAAAGTTAAATAAACACTATATACAAACAGAGCCTAGGCTTCGGCCGGCGCTAAACGAGCCGCTTTTGTGCCGCGTTGAGCCATCAGACGCTTTCAGTAGGACACTTGACGGGATCGAGGCCAAGATCACCGACTTGGGGGTTTGGCGTCTCCCGCAGAGGCTGGGGGGGGGGGCTTCTTTACTCTTTTTTAATTTTTTTGGCACTTCATGGTGAAGTTTAGGACATGGGAGAGAGGGAGACGGGACACTGCCCGTTGTTGTTCATGATGTCATCCACGTCTTCGTCGTCCAAATCCACTGAGGAGGAAAAGGTCAAAGGTCAGGGAGATGAAGAGGCAAAATGCGAGCTTCGATACAGTGCATCTATTTTCTCCACATTAAGAGATCAGCTTGTTCAAGGCCACTCTCCCATGTTTCTTTGTGCTCAGATAAGTTAGCTTTAGCTTCACATTAATCAACAGTTATGATATCAATCTTCTCCTTTAACTCTCGGACAGAAGATAATATTATGTTTTCCAAAGAACCTATAACTATTGCTCAGAAGATTTTGCAAATTTAAAACAACCATCCCTAATCTATTTGCAGATGAAGTTGATGTGATGCTTGCACACCCTTGGCGACATTTGGAGCTGCAGTTATCAGCTTCATTATTAAAATTTTAATATTCTTCTTCCCCCAAAAAACCCAATTTGAATTTCTTCATCTCAATCCCTGGGAATAGGCAGCTCATGGAAGTACGTTTAAAATGTGTGAAATAATAGAAGTAATATTCTTCTTCTCTAAATCGTCAGATCATCACTGCAGCAAACATTGCATATGCAAAAAATCAATCAATCAAAATAAAACAAAGCTGTGTGTACTTCATGTTCTGTGGTTTGTTGTGATTCTTGGGTTTTTGTCCTGGAGCCCTGGTGCTGCTCTGTCCTGAGACACTTGCTATTAAAAGTATATTGTTGTCACGCCTGTATATAACCAAAGTATTCGAAGTACAACAACCCTATTCCATATACCATTGTTATATGTATTAACGTTATAGATAATTATAAAATGAATACTAATAATCTGGTGGAGACCATAAAGAAATGTAGTAGAATAACATTAATTATAGTAAAAATCTGAATTATATAAATAATCTGTACCACTGTGATAATAATCATATTAGTGAAATAATGCTCTCATCGTACAACAATGATTTTACAAAATAAGACAAAAGAAAAACATCTGTATTAATACTAATCCTTGTTACTTCTACTTAACATGTGACCCTGTGGTTTGTGAATATGGGCTATACAAATAAACTGATAATGACAGTGAGTATTTTTTTGAACATGTGTATTTAATGTAAAGCTGCAGTCTCCTGCACCTGTCCAACACAAAGGGCCATCACTCACCTTTCTTGGACCGACCGATCTGGCCCAGTTTGGGCGCCCTCTGCCCGAGTCTCTGCGGGTTGGACCCTCTGCCGTGCCCGTTGACCTGGGGGTGTCCCGGGTTGTACTGGCCCGCCGGGCCGGGCTGCCGAGGCGGCCCGGCGGGCGGAATGAGCTCGGGGATACCTGAAGCTCCGTACATCTCCACCGCACGCCTCCTCTCCGGATCGGCCGCTAGATGTCCTCACACTCCAGGCGTCGCTGCGTCGTGTCTGTGGAGCCGCTCACTTCCGCAATGGCATGGAACAATGAATGTATGGACAACACACGACAGCCCGCTGGGAAGCGAGAGGGAGAAAGTCCTCAGTGCCTGTGAATGGAAGGAAACACGTCTGTCAGAAATGGCGCTCGTGCGTCAGGGGGCTTGTGGCCGCTGCGCACCAACACTTGTTTACGCTGAAATAAACGATGCGCTCTCGTGTGTTTCCCCTCGAACAGGTGAAGCCAATGTTTTCCAGACGTTCACAACAGCCCAGCACCACAGTGTCGTGTCGACAGATTGTTCCGCTCGCGACAAGACACCGCTTTTACTCCCCCGGTGATATGAGCAGCGCCACCTGAACGCTACCTCTCGGATTCTTTTACAAAACGCTGTTAAACATGATAAACACGACCTCACCTCTTTCTCGCTGAGGCCGCAGTTCAGAGCTGAATCCGCTAAACGCTGCTCTGAGATCTGTGTTGTTGTTTATCAGAGCTCTCTCTCTCTCTCCTGGCACAACACCGAGGAAGCGTCGATTTAAAGGGGCCTCTCGTCGTTTTCTCGGCCTTGGGGATTTCCTCGCATTGTGTCTTGACTCACAGCGGCATGTGCACGTCACCGCCGGGGCTGATGAAAGCGACAGTGCTGACACCTCGGGTTATTACAGCGGAGGTGTGCCAAAGTTTTTCGAAGCCGCGCTGCGTAATTACGCACCGGCGGTAATGCGCGAGAGTGACTTCGGCGTCAGCCAATGAGAAGCGCCGCTGGTTTATCCCCCCCGCAGGCCTTTAGACAACGCATGTACGTCTTCATGTAAGAGGCAGCTCAAGTTCGAGGAACTCAAACATGACAAAGATAGAAACTCACACAAATTACTTTACTAATCTCAAAGATGTTGCCATTGTTTACCCCCTTTACATCAGAGGGGCCGATTGCATGTCCGATTACATGTCCAACATCCATTCACATTTCATGGTGCATGTTTGAGTCACTCCTTGTTCACTGTTAGCTTTATAGCTTCAATTCAAAGACACACATCATTGAATACCTTTTTGAAAATTGTGACAAATTGTCGGTATTCAGTGATTCATCTTTTTTTTTCAAGCCTACTGACAGGACAGGGGCAATTCAGGAGCCAAACTAATTTTAATCTGGGGCCAGTGCCCACCCTGGTCCCACCCCTGGATTTGCCCTAGGAGACATGAAAATGTTTTGTGGATCAGCTCAGCTATTTTGAACATTTAAATTATCTGGTGAAAATAAATGCATATCTATCTTTACATTTGAGACATAAACAAAAATCAATGTGAGGATGATTTAAGTCTCAGTTTGGAGCATTGAAAGAGTAAAGCAGTAGATAAAAAGTTAAACCCGCTGAAACAGCTATCTCCAAATATATCAAATATTATGAATGAATCCATGCAGAGTTGAGAGTTATCAAAAAAAAAAACCTAATCAGCCAGCAGATCAGACTCACATAGATGTGCTCTGTCTGTGCTGGTACGTAACTGACTGAGCTCTCATGTAATTATTTAAACGCTTTGGCGTCAACGGAGCAAATCACCGCACGTCAGCGGCTGCCGTCATGTCCAGGATCATGGTTGTGGTCCACAGCACAGGTTAATAACAAAGAGAGTTTTTATTTCCATATAGTTTCTGCATATTTTACAACATTAGAACACTGTCTGACTTGTAAAATATAAAGTTAGACAAACCACTCTGTTAATAAGTGAGTCTTTGTCTGGCTGTACATGGTTGATGGGTAATGTATTCTTTTTTCTATTTTCCACTGTGTGCAGCGTAATCTGCTGGATTTCATGTGACCAGAAAGCGAAGGGGTGAGTCATACATTTGGCTTAAAAATGTTCCCTGGTGATACTGTAACACAGAGAGAGGCAGACAATTGGGACAGATGAGAACAGTGCTCATTCTAAAACCTGCCTGTTCTGTTCCAAACCATCCTGGACCTTTCAGGGCCAATGCTTACAGAGTGTCAATCATTTAGGATGTTGATGCGGACGCCTGTGCTTGTGATTCAAATGGCTCAGGACGGCCGTGGTCTTGGCCAAGGAAAATCTGGAGACAAGAAGCCTCTGTTGAATATTACATTTCTGTTATCGAAGTGTGTGTGCCGTTTATTATTGAGAGTTTAGAGTGTTAAAAACCTGCTGTCACTGATATCTTCCTTCTACACAGAGAATGTCACCTCTGTTAATCTCCTGTGTGATCCCTCATGTCAGCGGCAGCCCCTATGGAAGGGGCTTTTCTCGAACAGAGGTCGGATTCCCTCCACCAGGCTGTTTCCATACTCTTGTTTTGTTCACACACAAATAAAAATCAGATATCACACTAGAGGCATTTTTTTTCAAATATCATGGAGCTTCAGTGGTGGAATGGAACGGTGGAATCTGGTAGTTATACTGCAATTCTCAATTTTTTGAACCAGCTCCACAAAACGTAAAAATGTATACAGGTAAATAGGTAAATCACACTTTAAGAGACATGTTACAGACTGAGGAGTAGGGCCACCAATTCAACATCTTATTAACTTCTATATGTTTATGTATGATGTAATATAATATGATATCTCAAAAATACACACTCTTCTTTTCCACTGATGGAGTGGAACTCATCTCTGCAGGTAAGCAAATAGCTGACTAAAACTCCTGGTGTCAGGGATTCCTTGTTAGACATCAGCTAATCTCTCACTTGAGGCCCTCAAATTTTATACGTCAGCAGTCAGGAGAACAGAGTGCTGTTGTATTCCTATTTTATCTGACGGCTCCATATTTACACCAAAACACTGCAGTCAAGCAGAGAGTGCACACAAGCACACACACACATGAAAGTCAAACTGAGAAGGCAGTTCGACAGGAAAAAGTGAAACACAGTCGACAACAGAACTGTCCTGTACTTGCTCCTCCAAAGATTTCTGAAAACTAAACTCTTAAACAGGTAAGTCATGAATTCTTTATCGCAACAATCCTGGTTGAATATTTTCTTGAGTGAGATTACCCTCTATCTACAGAGTTGGTGTAAATCATTCTGCGGAGTGAGGCAGGTTGGATCAGAGCCACACTGAGAGAAGAAAGGTCAGTTATTCTTTACTCTGAGTTTGGTTTGTGGCCGAGCTGAAGAATAAACCAGACGTGGAGAGAGCAGAGTTGGTTGATTTCCGAGTGAGGGGCGTGGAAGGTTGTTCTGAGCGAACACCTCACTGGAGTGACGCTCAAATCCTCTTTACAGTTTCCTGTGGATGATCAGTCATAGTCATGGATGCAGAGTTTTTTCTAACTGTGGTTGATGTGTAGCGCTGTAGCTGTAGACAACCCAGTCTCATCTCAAAATATACATTTAATATAAGTTGTATTTACTACAAGGAGACTCAGTAGAGCGCAAACGGCCCCCTTATGAAATCACATTTAAATAAACTTGACCCGGATTATTATCTTCATTATTATTATTATGTATTCACTCATAACTAGTTCCCTATAGAATACATCTGCCATTATTCCTCAAGATCCATTTATTATCTCACAATCTTAAAGACAGTACTAACTATATTATATCAACGTACCAACTATATCATCACTTTATAAAAGCAATGCAATATACCAGTTTGCCACATATACATTTATTCATGTGCAATTTATAAAAATTTTTTGAGCTGAGTAAGATTTCAGTTCACTTAAAATAGGGAGTTTTTAAATTGTGGTGTAGTTGTTGGCCCTGGATACGTCACTCACCACCAGACAATTTTTCACTAACCCTAAACATGTTGATTAAGTTGTTGAAAGCCAACCACAGAAATCATTAATCATGCTTTAGTCACCAGGAAAATACGCTGCAGGAAAACAAATTAATGGTGTTGGCAGCTGAAACCCATTTCTGTTGTTGATTGTGATAATTAAAAAAAGGCACATAGCAATCCTCCACTATTCTATTTTTACAAATTAGAAAAATACCAATTTAATGCATTCTGAGCAGTGAAGCATATATAAAAGGTATTTATTCTAAATGTTTTTTAAGTTAATTAAGCAACTCACCAATATTAAGTTCATTTTCCAATCCTACTTTGGCCCTAAGTATGACTCCAAAAACCATTTGATAAAAGAGTTGATTAAATCAAATTGATTAGAGATTTCACTGGGTATATATCAGAGGTAAATAAAAAATAGTATGTATTCAAAGTACACAATTCAATGGAAACCCATTGGTAATTGAGCCCCAAGTTGAAGAACATAAAAACAACAACTGATCCCTTACTGTATTATGTAATGTGATATTTTAATTGTGACCCTCTTTTGTGGCTGTGGATTGACAGTTCAGGTATGTCTCGACGGGTGGTCCAGGTCCAGCCGGAGAGCAGGGTTCATGAGGCAGGTCAGTGGAGCACTGGCCTGTGTGAGTGCCATAAAGACATAGGGGACTGTAAGTACTCAGCATCACACAAGTTTGTGGATTTAGTGTTTATATGACCATCAGCACTGAATAACAGTCATCATATTTTTGTGTATTGTGTTTGTGTGTGTGTTGACTTTCAGGCTGCTTTGCCCTGTGCTGCCTCCCAGTGTTCACTTGTAAGGTGACCAGTGCGGTTGGTGCGTGTCCCTGCCTGCCTCTGCTGGACTGTATTGGCTGTGTGCCGCCGGCTGCTCTCGCCATGAGGGCTTCTGTCAGGGAACGATATGGTATACAGGTAATGAATAATAATAATAACATGATGAGGTACAAGTTTCAATATTATACTTTATAACTAGATTAATGAAACTAGAAATTATACCAAAAAGGGTCAGTGGTTGAAAGCCTTTTTCCTGACTTGCTTGCGTCTGACTCATTTAAGGCCTTCAGTCCTCAACTCCTGATTTATTGCCTGAGTGGATTTCTGTCACATGAGGGATTTTGGTCAGTTGTCTTTCAGTTTGAATACATTGTTAATCTAATGTCCCATAGGCATGATGATGTAAAACTCCAGGTTGGCTTCTACACCCTGCAGCACTCTATTGATCTGTTTAGCGTGAGCATAGAAGTCACATGTTCTTCCTTGTGGAAAAAGTGATTAAAACATGTACCATGCAGAGTCCACAGTTGTTTTTGCTGCAGTCATTAATTCAGTTTAACGTGTGCTGCATCTTCCACCAGTGTTTCCCTGGGATGTTTTGCTGTTTCACACAGTTCCGTCAGTCGAGAGGAGCCCTCCCTGAAAGTCGTGGCACCAACTTGAACCATGTTGTGTCTCGACCACAATAACACAGAGGTGCTAGGGCTTCGAATAATTACCACTGCTGCTGAGCAAATGATACGTTTCAGTGCTGCGAGTGATGACTGTGCATTACTTTAGCGATGCAAACAGTGATTTGAATCTGTGTGGTGACATCAGATCAAACTGAGCCTGAGGAGGCAGTGAAATCAGGACATGGTTATTAAATTAATAAATCTGTCCTAGAACTATAAATAACTAAATGAATAAACAACAAACTGTTGTCGTTGCCTTTAAGAAGCTGCTCAGGCTTCCCTATGCTTCACGGCTCATATATCAGGTCTTCATCACCGATCGCTGCACATCCACATGCAAATGGTGAATACCGAGGCCAAGATGTGAGTTTGACGTCGCATTAACCCGTTTATGGGACAGTGGAGATAAGGCAGGAGGTGGGCGTGATGGAGGCCAGGCAGGCGGCGGCTGGAGCGCTGCCACGGCAGAAGGAGGTGGTTGGTAATGTTGGCTCCTCTGGAGGCGGAGTGGGCCGTGGGCCGCTGTCAATACTGCCAGAGAATGAGCTTCAGGAAGATGCCAGATAAGTTCTTATTGAAACAGGTCCCAGAATGTAGGTTGTTCATAAAGCAAGGCAACAATTCTCTGGTGGAAGGCGGCAGCATAGCTTTGTGTATCATGACAAATGTTAAACTGACCACAGCTAGTTGGATATGCATTGAAAGTTCTGGATCATCTTACTGAGGAAATTCTGTTATTCGACTGTATAGCCTACCACTACATGGTCTGCTCTTTATTTCCTGAAAATAGCAGTACGATAAGATATGTATGTATATATATACATATATATATATATATCAGTAAATTAATATAAAAGGTAATATGCAATACTTACAAATGCAGTTTAAAGTTGGAAATATAGTCAGAAATGTAAAAAATTTGAAATGGAATAGAAATGATAAATTGCACATTAGCCATGAACTGCAAGTATTTCTACCTATTCCCATTAGCCTCAGAAAGTATTGAATGAGGGCCATTAGCATGCTGTTGTTAGCATTAGTTGTTTTGTTGTGTCCACGCAATGTCAACAGAATATAGTCACAGAGTTGCATGTTGCCTTCGGACTTGTAATGTTGCTTGGGGGGGCGGAGTGATCATTCTAGTTAATCTCACCCTCCCACATAGAATTCACAGGGGAGGCAGCATGGTGGAGAGAGAAGTCTGATGCTGAAGTAGACAAAGGTGTAAATATTGACCTGTGAGTTGCTTGTGCACTCATGAGGCTGTGTTAAAAAACACAAATGAAAAGGTTGCATTCAGGCCCAAATGTAAATATGTTTGTGGATGGAGGATTGTTGTGGTCACTTACATCCTGTTCCATGTTCATTTGGAGGGAGTGATATTACGTAAAGTTTGGACTCAGCAGTGATGACCATGCAAGTAATAATAAGCGATCAGCTGACAGACAGGCTGCACCTGCCTTCTTCATCGATTTATCAGCCCTCACCCACTAGCGCTTCCTTCTCCACATCTCTCACATGCTCTGCATCGTGGTTGCCGTTGCTAAGAGCAAAGACTTGGCTGCAAGACACTGACAAATCCAGTTTCCTTAAAATACCTTACTACTTCGTGCACTTTGTTTGTAGTGTATTAACCTAATTTGTTGAACTTTTTTATCATAAAGGAATGTAGTAAATTTATGACAAATAGTTTTACTGTAACTTAAACTAATACTGTTAAATACAAAGGATTATCATAAGTACCACGGGTGAATGAAACACTCTGCACTGCACATCAGTGAAAACGGTCTTTCTTTGCACCTAAATGCAAATGTTCACCTTTTGTTCGAGCCTCCCACCAGTGTTCAGCCTCTCTCTGCGTGTCTTACAGGGGAGTGTGTGGAGCGACTGCCTGTATGGATGCTGCTGCTATCCACTATCCTGGCTCCAGATCTCCAGAGAGCTGAAAAGGAGAGCAGCATCCCACGCCTCCTCCTCCTCCTCCTCATCTGCCAGATACACAGCTCTGACCTCCCTGCAGGGGGCGCACTTGGTCTAGACACAGCCACCACTTTTCTGCAGCAGTCCTCCAGAGCCCAGGAGTTGATTTAATCACACTTCCTTCAGTCTGCAGCCGCTCCCTGTTACCTCTGAGAATTCAGCAGGGACACAATGTGTCTCAAAGAGAGGAAAGTTCAGTTTGTCAAAAGATGAAGTAAAAGAACTGTGATAAAAGTCAAGCAGGGGTCATTATGCAAGTTATCTTGGGTCATCAATTATCTTATTTGATTAGATTCTTTTGGTGGTGAAAAGTAATCATGTACATATACTTAAGTACTTTACTCATGAATCCTAATTGAATGCAAGGTTTTTCACTTTGTTCATATCAAATGTAGGCTCAGGTTCGTATCATGCTATTTACCACACTTAGTTAATATTTACAGTTAAGATTGTATCCACCCATATGAAATGCAAAAAACCCCCACAATTTATTGTTACACCTTAATCTTCTGATTTCTTAAAAAACAATAGGTAGTTGTGACCCATTTTTATTACTCAGACGCCTATAGCAGTCCCACAAAGGATTTCTCCTTTAATATGGTTTTATCTGAATAATTATTTGACTCCCAAAATGTATAAAAAGTCCAATATTCCACAGAAGAGCAAAACCAATTTTCAGCAGAACAGTGCATACCTCCACCAAGGCCCACCAGTCCCATTACATTTGATCAAGTTGCACCAAATTTCACACAGATATTAGTTCCCTAAATGTTTTTATCAAGAAAATGTTGAAAATTGTCATATGTTGCAACATCTCTTGCAACATATCTTGCAACATCTCCAGTTCCAGGTTAAGAATGACCCCCCTTCATCCATTCCTCCACTCCTCTTGCTAATTAAATGTTTTGGTTGCCTGTCTGGGTATTCCATTAACTGGAGGAAAAGTGCATTTATTTCTCTTTCAGAAAATCTGGATCCTGTTTTTCTTGAATCTTTTCCCTTTGAAATTTCCAGGGCTCAGTTCACTGACTTGGGCCTATCTATTCCTGTAAATCCTATGCTCTTATTTAAGAATCATTTTACTTTTCAGTGAGACAAGCCTAAGAAATATTTATGTATTTATTTAAAAATATTTCAATTAATCTTCTGTTATCATTTCTTAAAAAACTACTCAATAATAATACTTTGTCTGGGGGTATAGACACATCGTATTTCCATGACCCACTTACAAAGGCGAAAGAAGCTGGGGGTTTATACCTCCAGTCAACTTCCTAACATTACTATTGGGCAGCTAATGCCAGAGCCCTAATGTATTGGCAAGATTAGTTTCCAAAGTCAAATGAGCTCCCTGATACGCCAATGAAGTGGTTGCAATTGGAATCATACGCAGCCGTCCTGTTTTCTACTACGGATTATGCAATGCATCTAATTGAGCAAAATTGCTAAATTCACTTTAAATAAAAACAGTACTTCATGCTCCTGGATTTTTGTTATATTCTCCTATTTGTTTGAATCATAATTTTATTCCATCTCAATCTGTTTATTCAAATGCAGTTTTTTGGCCTCTTCTTTTATTTTTCCACCTCCCGTTGATAAAGGTACAGCAACAGACTGGTGATCTCCGATTAGAGTTAGGGCCTGGTCAAACCTATAATGTAGCAGCAGCGAACTTTCACCTCTTATTCTGTGTAAATGGGGGGGGGGGGTTCGCATTGGCGTATGTGTGACCAAGCCCTCAGAATAAAAAACAAAAAAGGTAAACAGACAAGGGTGAAAACAAAACTTGTCAGAGGCAACAACAAAAGAATGAAGTAGCTCAGAGCCACGTGTCGCACGTGCCAGGGAGGATGAACGCTTTAGGGCATTCCTCTTATCATTCCTCTATCTGATAACTGATTCACACTTTAAAAATTAAGTCATTTTGTGGTACGATGACGTCTGAGATTTTACAAGTGATGGCCAGATAGTCCTAATGACTGGCTGTCGGAAGGCGCTGACGCACATCAGACAAGACAGACCAGTCGGTGACATGCACGCTGCGCTGTCGCTGTCACGATCGCCACATCTTGCTGGGTTTATAAGATGCCACAGTACCCTGCAGATTCCATATTCGTTCACATTTGGGATTTGTCCCAAAAGTCTCTGCTTACTCCATTTGGACAGACAATAAGGTAGGACAATCTGCTTGGTGAACAATTCATTCAAGGATTTTATTTAGAGTTTAGAGTTGGTATTTAAGAATCAATTATTGGCTGGAATTGATTTTTCATAGTAGGCCAAGTATGCTGAAACTTGAGGTGAAGAATTGCATCACACAGCTGTCAAGGAAATTCTGCAACCTGTGGATTTATGAAACCCTTTCAAAAAAAACAGAAGTAGACAAAATCTTTCCTCAAGGCCATTCCAACAATATTATGTTATTCCAGAAACAATCAATCCATTAAGGCTATTAAGTTCTTAATCTCACTTTATTTTACCTCTGTTCCTGTTTTAATAGATTGTTTTGCTTTTAGTTACATTTTATACACTTTATTTATTCCTAAGGCCTTTAATTTTGCTTTTGCTATTTTGCTACTTTGCTAATTTTACCATTTCCTATTTGTGTTTTCTTGGTGAATTGGAATGTTTTGTTTGTTTTCTGTATCTTTGTTGGAAAAAAAGAGAATCAGCTTTTTGCTCAGACACTTGAGTGACCATGAATATTTGAAATACTCCAGTGGATTTGGAGATCTAGACAAAAATTACACAAACCACAAAAGAACATTTAGAGTATGTCATACTTTTTGCCTTTTTTTAATGGATCTCTACATGGACAGCTGGATTTCCATAGACAGCTTTTTGAAATTCAAGAAATATTAGTATTTAACCAATAAAAGCCTTTGTCAGGGTTTAAACTGTATTGTAAAGTTATCTTCAAAGTTACTGTTTTCTTTAGAAAATAAGGCCATGTCTGGGAAGATGGTGGTGACCCAACCCCGGCCCTTCATCATGACCAATTCATCCAGCCAATGGACATCCAGCATCTGCGACTGCTTTGAAGACTTGCCCCAGTGTGAGTGCTCTTGTGCAGATGTCGTGATGCATATTTAGCAAGTAATAAAAAGAGATAGCTTGTGCAATTTTTTGTCCACGTGTCGAGGCAAGCACCTGCTATCTAAGTTCGTTGTGCGTGAGATTGAAACCATGCAGATCTTGCTGACTGATCTTGAAAGCCCACAGATAGAGATCAGTGGGTGTTCTTGTTTTGTTTCCTGTACCTGATGTGACTTGTTTGGGGGTTTTCTAGGTTGCTTGGCCTTTTGGTGCCTACCCTGCTTCGCCTGTAAAACATCCTACGAGGCCGAGGAGTGTGTGTGTTTGCCTCTGCTGGACTCTTTTGGAATCATCCCGCCTATAAGCACAGCCCTCAGGGTGTCAGTACGCCGGAAATATGGCATCGAGGTAACCAGACATCACAAACGCATCGATACCTACAGAGTAAATGTTCACCAATGTAAAAGTTAATGTTGCCCTCACTATTTATCTGATCGTTGATGACTCAAATCTGTCACAATCTGTAGAGAACAGTTCTCGAGATCTCCAGATAAAGAGAGACATTTGTGGAATTAGTAGGTAGATAGTTTAACAACGATTAACGAAAGTAACTGTAAGTCTATGCACGCAATTCTGTATTCTACGAGTATTTGTAGGTTATAGTCCGGGGGATGAGAGGAGTAAGAATACAAATAACCCAGAGAAAAAGAATCATGGCAACGTACAAATGAACAAAGGAGTCATTTATTAATAAACAACTGAAAAAGAACTTTCTACAAGCGACACTGACAGCAGCAGTAACAACTGAACTGAAAACCACAAACTAAACTAAACAGTCACACTACCAACACAAGCACACACAAATTAAGCAGAGGAGATCACTTCATACACAGCACACACAGCTTCAATGCTGCCACTTGGCCCACTGGGGCCGGGTGTCTGCTCCTCTCTGCCTTTTAACCACCGTGGCCTTGATCGGTGATTGTGCCCAGCCTCGCACACTCACACTGCAGGTACTGGGAAGTGGGAGGCACCCGAATGGACACTGCAGAGAGAGAGCAGAGAGAAAACACAACATAGCACGTAACAGTTGACACTGAACTGTTATCTTGGATGCGTCCGTTTTATGCCACAGCTGTTGTACTTGTGCATGTTTTACACTACATATCCCATCACTCCTCTAATCGTGTCTCCATCCTCACAGGGCACAATCTGCAGGGACTGCCTGTTCGCCTGCTGCTGCGGGCCCTGCAGCTGGTGTCAGATAGCGAGAGAAATCAAGATGCGGAACAACCCCATTACATTCGTCAGCATGTCACCCTGATTTCCGTTTTTTTAATCACTGGTAAAGCAAACATCATCATCATGGACCTCTCTTCATCATCAGGGCCTGTGACGTGTTAATGAGAGAGGGCAACTTGAAATCAATGTTCTGATCTGTTTCTCAGAACGTCTGCTTCTGTGGAATGTCACTGAGCAGCTGATTCGAGATCAGCACAAGAGGGTCATAGAGGTTTCATCAGTCCCTGGAATGACAAAGAGATAAACAGGTTCTTGGCCTGTTTGACATCCACTGACAGATATTAAAGACTAGCCAGTGACAGTGTGATTACAGACGACTTATTATCGCTGAAAGATATGTTTTTTCACCATGTGCAAACATTCCTGAATCACTGATTACTCTTTACTACAATTACAATTTTTAACTGACTGTTTTTGCCTTCTGTTTTAATTGCTTTGCATCTTTCTCCATTCATATAAAAAAATATGTTTTTCTATTTAAAACATGGCTGCTGTAATATATGTCAGTCCACGTGAACAGTGCAATAATAAAACTCTTAAACCTCAAACTAAACCTTATCAGTGTGCTTGATTTAAAGTTTAAAAGCAGAATGTTTAGGGTTTAGTGCGGTCTAGCGGCAACGATGCAGAATGCAACCTTCTGGATATTTCTATCCTCCCTTTCCAAGCATGCATGACACGCTTCAGGATGTAAATATGTGTGAGGCCCTCTGTAGAGTCAGTGAATTGTCTGCTCATTCTAAACTACTTTAGAAACATGGCAGTGCAACATGACAAGACGTAGATGAAGATATAAAAGTTAGGGCTGTCAGTTTTGCCATTTTCATATTCCGGGACAGTATTTATCAAACTCAACTCTAAACTCTCGACCAGAAAACATTGAAGCATCATTTAACACTGCTGGGCTTGATTTTCTAGTATGCATGTGAAGCTCCCACAGTCAGTTTATATTCACACAAACTTCAGCTTCGTGTGAAATTCCTGCACGGACGTGTTTTGATGGATAGTAAACAGCTGTCACCAAGTGACAGAACAAGCCAGGTATGTGAGTAAATGGTGTGAACGCTGTGACGCGGATTAAAATGAGCCATATCACAGCAAGGAACAATTGTAGGAAGGAAAAGTTTGGAACCAGCGAGCGTCTCGGGAGCTTTGTTTAGATCTTTGGGCTTCGGGCCAAATTTGAAAAAAACGTGCAACGAATGCCGAAAGAGTCCCATGAGAAAAATAATGAAAGGTGTTTACTTTTTCACGTCTTCCTTATTTGAGTGATCGCCATGGCAACACGTGTTCACCAACAACCGGTAGCGTCGGCCTTTGACTCTGATCGCGGTCGAGTCTGGTGTTTGTGTTTATGTAATTTCATTATATCTCCTGCTTGTTTGCCATGTTGCCAGAACATAATAAATGTGATATATCAACATTCACTGGAGAAGTCAGGCTGCCATAAGTCAATATGTTTGTTTATAACACTGATGTAGTGAAGGCCAACAACCTTGTTTAGATATTCAGAAGCCCTTCACATGAATCCTGTGCTCACATCTGGACAAACATCTCCAATAACGATGTCCCAAGTATTCCAAATATATTATAAACCATCCAGGACTATTTCAAACCATCCCCTGATAAAGGACTTGTTATTATTGCAACCCATAGAACCTCCTCTGAGTATTGCTGTCTCCCCCACCCTCCAGATGTTATGTATCCCATCAGGCCTTCCATCGATATCGATGTGTGTTTCCAGTTTGGAACAATGGCTCTCAACCTTTTTGAGTCATGACCCATCAGTATGTTTACCCTTAATCTTAGGATTTAAATGTGCACGCATGAACAGAGTACTTTCTCATTTAAAGAGACAATGAATCACGAGGAAGATGAATTCTGTGATGTTTGTTTTTTATTTGTCCAAGCAGCAGTTTCACATGTGCACACAGACTTTGACTTAATAACATCCAGTCTAAAATATGTCTCTTTCTCTACAACCATCTGGCAACCACCAAAATTGATTTAGTGACCCCAGTAGGGGCCTGGACCCTCCAGGTTGAGAATCACTGGTTTAGAAAATAGGAAAGCACTTAACAATACTTGAAATGTTTTACTTTCTTTGCATTTCGTGTGCATCTACGGTGGGGAGATAACAGTGGACTGTTGGTGACTGTCATCTATGCCATCAATATGTTACGAGTTTCAGCTCTCAGCCAATGATCTCAGCTCTTCGTCAGTGGGGTCCTGACCTTCAGGGTCATGTGCAGCTAACCTGACGGCACATTCCAGTATATAATTAACATGATTGAAAGACACTGACTGATAACACGGTTAATAAGTTCCCTGTCCACTTGTATAAGAGTTTATAGAAAATGTGCACGTCTGATCAAACTAATTAAAGAGGTAAACTCTTGTGGAGATTTGAAAGATTTCACACTTAGAATTACTTTTTGAAAAGTTGAATGGTGTATGCATTTTAAGAGAACAATCTGTTTGAGACAGGTGAAGAAACTAAATGCAGGCATACAAAGTCCATTTACTCCATTAAGATAAAGAATCCAAAACTAAACCTCAAACAGCAAACACGCAAAAACTCAGGAACTGAACCAGGAGCAAGAGAAACGCTGAGCAGGAGCAACTGAACCCAACACGACTGAAGTGAACAGACGAAGTGACAAAGACAAGAGAGAAAGACTGAGTCTAAATACTGGAGGGTAGAGGGACGAAGGAGCACGTGATCAGTGGTGTGACGCAACAAAGTTCCTAAGTAACAGAGGGTATTGCTCTACTGTGATAGGACATCTCAAGTTACATGTTCACATTGTGTATTTGTAAATACATATTTTTAGAAGTAATCAATAACAAGATCTGGATATCTGGTCCAATCAGAGCGGGCAGGTAATCAGACCCTCCTACCGCTGCAGCAGCAACACAGAAGAAACACGGCCGAGACTCAGCTATAATAAAGTAGTACACTGTTGCATTGGGGATTAGGGTACACTCAGCAAGTACTTGGAGGTAAAACAGAAAGGCCATCTCACCTTTTGTACCAGGTTTACTCATGTTTTAAAAATATGTGTACACCTGACAATTTTGGTGCAAAAGTAAGCCTGTAAGCTCGTGGTGAACATGCACATGTCACATTTAAACTCAACAGTCAGGTTTAAGTGAGTCCACAGAGGCATGAGGGGAGAGGGGAAGGGTGCAGTCCACTGATATGACTGCACCTCGTGCTGTTATTGTAATCAAATGAATGAGAAGTGGTAATCACCACCGCTCACTTCTTTTTCCCTCCGCTGCGTGACCTCGCTGCTTCCTCCTTCCCTCGTTCCCCAGCCACTCCCGTCTCACACTCCCTGAATGTGACTCAGTTTGGATTTGCACACCCCCACCCGAACCAGCTCAGGAAGCCATGCGCACGGAGGCTGAGGGTTGTGCATGAGAGCGCCCACAGGGGAACATGCCAGGAATGAAATAACTGAACATAAACTGGCAGCAGTTGTGAGGGTGAACTGAGGGGTAACATCTCACCGTCACACGCACAAAAAATTAAACAACTTGATAGAATTTCAACAAATTCAAAATATTGGCTTGCTCCATTGACAAAACCTTTTACATATCCGGTACGCAGACTAAGATTCTAACTTATACCAGTGATACTATCTAAACCTGTGTAATTTAAAGGTAATCCACATACTGGACTTTGGCCTTGCTGCAAAGGTATATGTGTCAAAGTTAAACTATGGGGAAACAAACCACATATTAACCTGACTCCCTCTGGAGCTGGTGCTCGAGTCAAACTTCTGGATTCAGATACAAAAAGAACCAGGTGAGGCATCTGATCCTTAACTTATCTCTTACAGTTTAAAATGTCACTTACACCATGTAATTATACAGGTGTTCAACATGACTAGTCATTTGTTCTTCTTGATTTGCTGTGATCCTGAACTGAATGAACTGTGGTCTCGAAATGCACATGAGCAAACATGTTGAGTAACATGAGTAAAACAGGAGTTTGGAAAACTCACAGTGATGACCCAGCAGAGGCAAAATCATGCTGTGACACCACCGCCTGTCATTTCATACTCACTGCTGAGGACATGTTTGACTTTCTCCACTATGATTTCACAACATTGTGCCATGCAGCACCTCATTTGTCCTTGAATCTATACTCCCTGAGATGAGGGACATCCAAAAACAGGTATCTCCACATTTCCACTTCCCAGTTTAGCACTTTGCTTGCATCCCCTCTGATCTCTGCTCCCATTAAATACAACATACTGCACTATGACTGATCTATTGTTGATAGTGTTACACAAAAGTGCAGTGGAGTATTAGGGCCACTTGAAGGAGAAAATAGTTCTGAGATATTGAGAATAAAGTCAAAATTTTACCCAAAAAAGTATATTATTGCTTCAAAATGAGGATGGTGGAGAATCATGTTCAGTTTTACTTTGGTAAAGGGTTTCACAAATTGACAAACTACTTTATATTTTTGATCACCACCACAAAATATTTTGCAAGAGGTTTCTGCAGAAAGAACCACACATATTTGGAGGAAGTTCTCTTTTTTAGAGAGAGGAAAGCTGTTTGATAGAGGTCGACTGCAAAGTCAATGTTACATCCTGTGTTATTCAAATAAGTAGCTAATGAAGATTTTGCATTCTGAAGGAAAGGAAGACTGAATATTAGACTGAATTTCTTATTGCTACTTATTCTAAAAAATATTTTTTGTTAATTGTTTTGTAATATTATGTCTTTTTATCATTAAATTACATAATTCCTGTAATATGACAAATCTTTCATGTTAAATTAAAAACTTTATTTTCATTATATATAACTTTCCTCTCAATCATGACTTTATTCTTGTATTACAAGATTCTTTGGTAAAATTGTGATTTTATTCTAGTAATATAATTACTTTATTCTAGTTGTTTTGTGACTTTTCTCACATTACAACATTATTTTCAAAATCTCAAGGTTTCTTTCTATGACCCTAATATGACCCTATACCCAACATCATACACAACAAAGCTTCAGACCGACTAGAAAACCTTCTAACATTATGTTTTATCTGTTGTTTCTTAGAGGACATGTCCAGCAAAATCCCAATAATCCTGTCATGGCTCTGCCTCCTGCTGCTAAATCCCATCTGTTGCAGTGGCAGCAGGATTCTGGTAGTGCCTGTTGATGGCAGCCACTGGATCAACATGGAGGTGATCCTCCAAGAGCTGCACTCCAGAGGCCACAACATCACCGTGCTGCGCTCCGCCAAGAGCTGGTTCATTCCCAGTAACTCTTCTATTTATACATCTATTGACGTG